TACTCTTTGGTAGCTATATATTATTTGTAGGGCTCACAGAAAACGTACTAAGTCTTATGCTGAAGAAGGTTATTTTATCAAAGGACCTTAGTATAATTAAGAGATCAAAATATGGTTAAATCACAAAGTGATAGAATGTTCTAGTTACAGGATCTTCTATGATTGTGGGATTTACAAAGTAGTTAAGATGGAGAAACATTGCAAAGCAGGTGCTTCTGCAGCTCAAACTGGTACATCAGCATAGGTAGAACACTGACCTTCATTTCTGTTCCTTTATCTGATGATAGCCCCTCAGGTCTTTATATTGATCATTGTCTTCATGAATGGATTTGAAATAGACAAGAATCTCAAGAAATGCATAATCAACACAAATGCTGTGTCACCCTGGGGTGCCTCTTGGAATAGTCTCAGTGCTCATTTCTGCCAATCAGATTTCTTCCCTTCAAGGTCAACTTCTTTCTTCTCAGAACACATCAGCCTCAATGGAAAATGCCCGCCCCTGAAATCTCAGCTCCTCTAGCTTTACCCTTCATGAAATGATTGTGCAAAGGGCTACCTTATGACTTTTTTCTGCATTATTGTTTTGCAGAATTAGTCAACTTTCCCTATCTTCCTGTCTGGTCTTCCCAGCTAAATACCAAGTCAAGTTCTCTACCAAACAGTGTAGTTATTTTCCTGCTCATCTTTCAGGCCACTGTTTGGACGTGTACTTAGTGGAAGTATATATTTTAAAAACACACAAACAGCAAGATAAACATACAGAAAACTCTCAATGCTTGTGTAAACTCTGTCTTACTCAAGACTCAATGAGTCCACAAGGAGAAAAACACCCTAAGTCGACATGATTCACTGAGTTCGCACAGCAGGAGAACCTATTTTCCTCTATGATTGCTTCAAAAGAACTTGCTGAAGATAGGTGTTATATAAATCTAAGAGATTCCTGGTATTGCAATGCAACCTAATGAAATTCTTAACTGTTAAGTACCTTATTGATTCCAAAGAATTCATCAGAGAGAAATGGAATAATAAGGTACATTAACACTTTCCATGATGCATGATCCTTTTCAGAAAGCTTTGATATCCTAAAGGCCCAGAGCCAAGAAAAATAATTTGTGTTCCAGTCTCCTGTGACTCTTCTCCAAGAAAGAAGGCAATTTCTTTTAGCCAGGTTTGCATTTCACTGACTGTTTGTTTTTCATATCCAGGTTGTTATTATTGCATTAATCTTCTGCTTGCAAATGGATGTGCAATATTTACGAGGGTTTATTTTTGCTGTTGTTCTTTAAATAATACATGTTGTTTCTTCAAAAAGCCTGAAATGAAAAGAAACTGTTTAGTTCTGACTGCATTCAACAAAATAGAAGAACTTATATGCCCTATATTAATCCAATTCATATCAGCTCTCCCAGCACTGGGTCTAACCAGTTGCTCTTTATCTAGAAGTTTGGGATGTAGAGATCAGTGGGTAAAAAAGGGGTTGAGAAGCTTGGAATTCCCTGGCCACGATAGCATTCCTGAACTGAAGATTAATAGGGGAGGCTATTTAATCATTTATTTATTTTGTCATGCAAATAATTTTTTTTGTTTTCTACCATATGCCATAACCATAAATATAGACATCAACAACTGACACCTGGTCCTTGCCTTCATGATGCTAAGCACTCTAGTTGGGAAGAAACCATTAATTCATAACCGCATGCATAACCGCATGCATACATATGCACTTATAGTACACCAGGGCAGGTCAAGGCAGAAGCAGAGGTTAAGAGAGTATGTTCTTGACCCTGTGTTCTCTCTCTAGGCCCTCTAACTTACACCTTAGGCACCTTAGGCACGTTGGTCTTCTAAGACATCGTGGTGAAAATCACAATAAAAGTTAGACAAGAATAAGCTTGGAAAGAATACTTAGGTCTTACTATGGGGCATGGGGAGATACTGAGTTGTGCAAGTTAGATTTTTCTACCCTAGCTCTGCCATCTTGGATAATTCATTCCTGTCTTGAGGACTTGAATTTTGTCTCCTGTATAATCAAGAAGTCTGGCTGGGTGATTAAGGCTCCTTCCAGAGCTAAGATTCTCTGTCTCAAACCACAATGTTTATATCTTAGACTTTCTCCTGAAATCCACCCTCCAAGTAAGGGTAATGAGTGACAGACTTTGAATAAGTAAGCCTTTTTTAGACATTAGTGTGGGCTCAAGTTGACAAATACCAAGAGCTGTGCCAAACCCTGGGGACACAAACCGCGAGTAGGACATGAGACAGTTCTTGCCCTCAGCAAACTTCAGTTCAACTGGGAAGACCGAGACAAATAGAAAGTATTTCAGGACAAAATGGCACACATTGTCATGAGGAAGGAACGTTCAAGGTCCATGAAGCACAGAGGATGCCTCCCTGCTGTTTATTGGACTGCCCTTCTGGGTTCCCACACCTCAACCAAGGGGCCACACGGACCTAGGGCATCCACTAAGTCTTACCTTTATCTTGGTGTGAAAACAGTAACACAATGACTATGGGATGAGAATGTGGTGGCTGGGGTACAATGCCTCGTCTGCTGTCAAAGCAGCACCGTGAACATCAGGGCTGGAGATCCCTGGGCTTGTGTTGGTTAACCTCTCGTTCACGTCCATGACCTTCCACCTTGCTTCCATCATGTAGATGAACTAACTGCCTTCCTCTTTGACTTTTCTCTTTCCACTGTGTTATGTCTTTCCTGGTCATGATCAGTCTCTTAGAGATGACCAAGAACTATCACTCTCCTTGCAGATAGTTAATAATCAGGATTTATCACCCTCCTTTGAGATGGTCAAGACCTATCACTTTCTTTGAAGATAGCCAAGACCTACAAACTTCCTTGCAGATGGCCACGATCTATCACTTTCCTTGGAGACAGTCAGGACACACCAATTTTTTTAAGATAGCCAAGACTTATCACCTTCCTTGGAGATGGCCAAGAACTATCACCCTCCTTGAAGGAACTACCTCCTTGGAGATAGTCAAGACTAATAACCCTCTTTGGAGATGGTCAAGACCTATCACTCTCCTTGGAGATGACCAGGAATTATCACCCTTCTTGGAAATGGCCAAGTCCTATCACTCTCATTGGAAATCATCAAGACTTAGAACCTTCCTTGGTCCCTGCCCCACCTCATGCAGTCAGTTGCTAAATTCCAGCCAAGCTTCCTTCACAGTCCTTCTTTTCACCACTTTTCTTGGTATTCCCATTTCTCCCAGTCCTGCATTATTGCAATAGCCTACTCTGTCCCCTCCATTTCTCTCTTTTTAGTCCATCATTTGTGATGTGTATGGCATTATTCTTGGACGGCAGCAACTGCATATTTGCCTTAGTGCATTAATAAAAGAACCTGGGAATCCCTTGTGTCTCGCCAGCTGATCACACAGCGTGGAGCACAAACCCCTTGGGCCAGTGGATATCCATTAAGGGTCTGAAAGAGACCTCAGTGATCCCACCTGTGCCACCAACCTTTCTCTACTACGTGTCCCTCCCCTCAAAAGGAAAACGGGTGATTTCTCCCCAGAACCTTATGGCATCCCTTGGTGCTAAGATAGAAAACTTACTGATTCTGTGTCCTTAGGTAAGTGACTTAATCTTATGAAGCCAAATAAATTAAGAATAATTTAATTAAAATGAGATAATATTGAGAAGTGCTTTATATGGAACCTGATTTGAAGTCAGGGCTTAGTAAATATCAGTCACTCTACGTGGGCAGTCTGGCTTTCTTTCAGATCTTCTGGTGTTTTTCGTGCCTCCTGTGACAAGGTCAGGAGGCCATTCGTTCTGCATGGAATGATCCCCCTTTCCTCCACCTGATTAGCTCTAATACACTATGCAACTCTACCCTGAAGGGTCGCTCCTCTGACCTCTTCATTTTGGCTTACGTCATCTTATTGCATGACATCATAGCTGCCCTCATGCCTACCACCTCTTCTTAATACAATAATTTTGTACTTGCCTATGTGTATATTTATCTAATGACCATCTCTCCAACAAAGCTGCAAGCTCCTCAAAGGCAGGGACCTTGCTATGGAACTTATTGCTGTCTTTCTAGAACTTGGCACCTAGTAAGTGCTCAATAAATACTTGGTGACAGAATGGATACATGAGTTGAAAAGACCAATTTCTTCATGTTAGCTCATTTTTATGTTATGTTCTAAACATAATTTCAGTTTTCACATATATTTCCTTTCTTTTTTTTTGAGGTGGAGTCTCCCTCTGTGGCTCAGGGTGGTGGGTGGTACAGTGGTGCCATCTTAGCTAACTGCAACCTCTGCCTCCCGGGTTCAAATGATTCTCCTGCTTCAGCCTCCTGAGTAGCTGGGATTACAGGTGCACACCGCCATGCCTGGCTAATTTTTGTATTTTTAGTAGAGACAGGGTTGGTCAGGCTGATCTCCAACTCCTGACTTCATGATCCACCTGCCTCAGCCTCCCAAAGTGCTGGGATTACAGGCGTGAGCCACCACGCCTGACCCACGTGTATTTCCATTCTAAGCTGAAATTCTTTGCTTCAGAAGACTCCAGGAAACCTTTCCAATCCCTCTTTTATTTGTTAGTGTTCTGCTGCTGTTTGAAGTAGTATTTTTCACAGCATCTCTCTCCCAAACTTGATCAATTACCAGTCACTTAGCAAGCTCTTCTTTAGTTTTTCCCCAAGTGCTTTATAAAAGGTTAAAACAAACCTTTTCAAAAGATAAGCTTTTATTGGCAATTTATTTCTGTAATTGATGGAATTAAAATAAGAGTGGCAAACTAGCCGAGTTTGATCTCAGGTACAGAGATCGACATGAGTAATCCCTGTAATGCAGTCCTAATTGCTATCTGCATGACTCTGATTAGAAACATTGCATTATTTATTTAGCCTTTGATGCCAATCTCAGAACCAGAACCAAGTAACAGCTTTTTAAATTTCCACTCTCAGATGCTGTCTGCTGTCTCTATGGATTTAGACTAGGAAGCTGTATATGGAGTTTTCAAAACTTACTGGGGGCACCATTTCTTCTGCAGAGTAGGCTGGGAAGGAGGAGCTGTCCTGCGTTCTGAAATGGTGGCCAAAGTGAAGTTTATCAGAATAGCGGTGGGGCCAATGGGACTTTATATATGGCTGTTCTTTGATGTCTTCGATGAAGAGCCACCTGGCAAATCTGGAATATTAACAAGCTCAACAGTGGGACTAGTCAGAGACCAGATTGTGAGGTAGGCTTGTTTCACCCATTGTGTCCCCTCATCAGGGGTCTAGGCTTGCTGCAGAATCTGCCCATGTCCACAATTAGGGGCTCCCTAGTGTGGTCTGTTCTTCACTCCTCATCAAAATTGCTCTCAGAGGTGCCAATTTCAGGGCCTACTGAGTTCTCCATTAACTGATAAGGAAGCACATGCAGTGGTGGAAAGTGCAAGGGTTTTGTCACGGGGATGTGGATTTAAATCCCAGTGACAACCATGAGGCCTTCAGCAATATTCAACGACCTTTTGTGTTGAACCAGTTTTCTCATCTAATACCTGATGATAGGAAGAGCTACCTCATAGAGTTTTATGCAGTACAGACTAGACTTAATATTACTTTCCTTTTATTTTTAACTGTTAAAGGCTTCATTTGTTAACTTCAAGGTAAGATATTTGCATTTTAACAAGAGTTTTTTTTTTTTTATCAGAAATAATTTCTCGTCCAAAGAAGTTGTTAAGCATTGGTGAAATTTCAGATGCTGAAAACCACTGTAGTGTGTGTGTGTGTGTGTGTGTGTGTGTGTGTGTGTGTGTGTTGGGGAATGTGGTAGTTTTGGCCCAATATGCTGGATTAAATTACTGGTCTCTGATTTTCATTCCTCTGCAAGGAATGAGAAGTCGACCTTTTCATCCACTTTCTTGCCTTGCCTCATGAAACCAGTAACTGGGCTCTTGGCCTTTTTCTTTAAACTGAGAATCCCCCTGTCTCTTGTATCTACTACTCCATCAAACAATCTCATCTCTTGGCTGCCACAGGCGGGGTCTACATTTAAACTCCAGGTGCCCATGCTCACCTGTGTGGTTCACTTTCATTATCTGCAGATTTGCATACACATCCTGTATCCTCCCAGTGAGTGGAGTGTGTGTGATTCTTGAATTCTTGTTATTGATGATCTAGTTCTTTCTATCGTTGCTTGAAGACAAGTTGTCGCAAGTGATTAGTTGCCCTTTTTTACAAACTTCTGGTGGTATGAAGCCATGTGATCAGCACAGACATTCAGGAGGTGGCCCACTGGGAAACTGCGTTTGGAGCCAGCTATGTTTCTAGCAGGCTTACCCGCACAGAAGACTTACTATTTTTCTGCTATGAGGACTGGTAAAAGATTCGTAATTAATTCTTAAACCACTGAGTGGAGACAAAGAAAGGGAACAAATATTCAGGGTTTTTATAAAGTGGGTTAGTCAAAAAATGGCACCTTTGTCAGGGAGATTATATCTATGTGCTTAAGATCAGGTACATAGTTTCTAAACACTCAAGAGGCCATTTGAGAGAACTCACCACACTCTGGTCAGCACTATAGAGGTGGCTGATTATTTATTTTGGAATTAAAGTTTTGGTGAGAAGAACTCTTGAGAGATCTCCATGCAAAGCTCTGTCAGGATACAGTGAGAATGCAGCCAATAACTTCCAGGAGGTTTCCTCTGCTGGTTTTCATTATAACTTAGAGTGTTACCTATTTTTCATCAGAATTAAAACAAATGCATTCACTGCATATTACCTGTGAGTACAGCACTGTGCTAAGGATTTTGGGGGAAACAAAAGTATATGATACGGTTTCTGCCATTTAGGTGACTTATCACTTATGGGAAGGTAAATTTCTACACTGAAACAAGCAGGGATGAAATAAATTGAGAGCAATAATTGATTATGAATTTAACTAATGGCACAACTAACACACCATTCATATTTAACAAATATCAACATAGTTTATTTCCGATTCTCATTTTTTTGTTTTTTCTTAAGAAATAAAATCTTCTGACTGGGTACAGTGGCTCAAGCCTGTAATCCCAACACTTTAGGAGGCCAAGAAGGGTGAATTGCTTGAGCCCAGGAATTCGAGACCAGACTGGCAACATGGTGAAACTCTTCTCCACCAAAAATACAAAAATTAACCAGGCGTGATGGCACACACTTGTAGTCCCAGCTACTTGGGAGGCTGAGGTGGGAGGATTGGTTGAGTCTGGGAGGCAGAGGTTGCAGTAAACCAAGATTACCCCATTGCACTCCAGCCTGGGCGACAGAATCAGACCTTGTTGTAAAAATAAAATAAAATAAAATAAAATAAAATATTCTAGATACAGTTGATTCCTTCACCCATCACATTTCCTTCTGACCCAGAGGCAGTCATGATTCTGAATGTGGCGTGCATTTTTACCAGCCATAGTTTTATGCTTTTACTACTTAAAAGCGTATTTATTGAAAAGTACACAGTCTCATTTTCTTTGTTTTTAAATTTTACACAGCATCACACTCTGTATATTTCTTCCCAGTCTTCATTTCTGAATCAACATTGTTTTAAATTCATACATATTCATACATATGTTTTAATTGTGGTATATTTTCCCATTTTATTTAAATACTGTAATATATATGTGGCATATATATATACACACACACATACACACATTTCTCCTATTGATTGACAGTTAAACTACTTGATTTTTATTTTTCCTTTATATACAGTTCTACAATGAATATTCTAGATCATTTCTCAGTGTTCATTTCTGATAATTCTTCTAAGGTACATGCCTGGAAATAAAATTGCTGGAGTTACAGAGTAGTTGCAATTTCAACGTCCCATCTATGAACATGCTATAATCTTTCCTTTTATTTAGATTTTTTGGTACATATTTCACTGAAGTCTTACATTTTTCCCCATGAAGGTTTTTATACTTATTTTGATCGATAAATATTTCTTTTTTCTTTCCTAACTTTTACTTTAGGTTCAGGGGTACATGTGAAGGTTTGTTACATAAGTAAGCTCATGTCTCAAGGCTTGTTGTACAGATGATTTCATCACCCAGGAATTAAGCCCAGTTCCCAACAGTTATCTCTTCTGCTCCTCTCCTTCCTCCCACCCTTTGCCCTTAAGTAGACCCCAGTGTCTGTTGTTTCCTTCTTTGTGTCCATATATTCTCATCATTTAGCTCCCACTTATAAGTGAGAACATGTGGTATTTAGTTTTCTGTTCTGTGTTAGTTTGCTGAGGATAACAGCCTCCAGTCCACTCATGTTCCCACAAAAGACATGATCTCTTTCTTTTGATAAATATTTCTTACATCACTGAATTTTTGTTGGCTTTGATTATGGGTTTATTACTGTTATTATCATCATTATTATATTTTCTAATTAGCTGCTGATTCATATTGATCTGGTATCTAGCCGTCTTTCAATCTTTCTGTATTTATAGTAATAAATAGTTTATTGTATATTGGGATATTTTTCAATGTAGATAATCATATAATCAGTAAATAATGACTATTTTATTTCTTCCTCTTCAATGCTTGCAATAATTTCATTCACTTACAGCATTGACTGTCAACTATTTAGGTGGAAATTACCAACGTGGCTGTCTTTATTTTATTCCTAGAGATACGCAAAATATTCAGTGAAGATTGAATGCTATTAATCAATCACTTATAAAAAGCAAGGCACATAGTGACTGTATGTGAATGCCTTGTCCACCTCCATGGTATTTCATATATCATTGCTTCTGATCAAGGAATTCACTTCACAGTAATGGAGTATCACAATGAACCCATGCTTATGGAATTCACTGGTCTTACCATATTTCCCACCATCTTGAAGCAGCTGGTTGATAAAATGACAAAATGGCCTTTGGAGGATTCAACTACAGCAACAGCTAAGGGGCAAGGTACTCCAGAAGGCTACATATCCTCCAAATCAACATCCAGTGTATGGTGCTATTTCTCTCATATTCAGGATGACTAGAACTACACCACCAACTTTCCTGATCCACAGCTTGCAGATAGTAGATCATGCGACTTTTTAGCTTCTGCAATTGTGGGAGCCAATTTATTTGTTTACATCAATCAATCAGTCAATCTATCTGTCGATATCTGTGGATATATATATTTTTTATATGAAGAACTTTGTTTACATATGTGTGTGTATGTGTGTCCTGTTAGTTCTGTTTCTCTGAAGAATCCTGGCTAATATGCCATATATACCATAAGCATATGGAGCCTACTCAATGTGAAGATCAATCCTTTGGCAGACCTTTCCAATGGTAAATGAGATCTTGCCTATATTTCTACTATCACACGAAGTATTCATGTTACCATTTAAGGCATTTATTATGAAAATTTAGCCTAGCTTATATTTTTGTATTTCTAAAATTTCTAAAACACTAAAATATGCCCCTTGCTGAAATGGGCATTAATTTTTCTTTGCTTTGTTTTCCAGGGAAATGGAAAAGATCTTGCTATGGCCCTAGAATGACAATTTGTCTTTCTAAAAATCAGAACCAATAGCAAAATCAAGATGGTTCAGATTTAGAGACTTTATCAAAGCCTCTGAGGGATTTTGAAAAACATAATTTGCAAGCTTTTGGAGGAAGAATTTTTAATGTGTCTGTAATGTTCTCAATCAGAATAGATTTTTGTCACAAAATAACTCCTCTGTAGGGGTCTGATGGAGGGTGTCTTTTAAAACATCATTTCTCATCTTTTCAGAGGATCAAATACTTAAAAGAGACTTTATTGGGAATGCTTTCCTTTATCTGTTGACAGTAAGCCAATCACTGAAGGAAAAGAAGACAAAGGCTGGCAGGAAAGCTATGCACTCAAAAACAAGCAGCCAAATGAAGTTCTCATCTTGACTGCACCTGCTTCTGAGCTCACAGGGTGCATACCTGAGATGGAGGTGATTATTAAACACAGTACCCTGACCACTGCCATTTGGTATGGCACTTCCTACTGACTGCGTATCAGTGGTGTTGAGAAGATTAACTCATCAGGGTCTCAGTGAGGCATAAACCTCTTCTTAACACATAACTATGTGTAGCTACTTAAGAGTGCTTGGTACTGGAAGCCATTATGTTAAGTGAAATAAGCCAGGGACAGAAAAACAAACTTGGCATGTTCTCACTTATCTGTGGGAGCTGAAAATTAAAACAATTGAACTCATGTAGATAGAGAATAGAACAATGGTTACCAGAGGCTGGGAAGGGTAGTTGGGGGAGGTCAGGGGGAGGTGGGGATGGTTAATTGGTACAAAAAATAGAAAAAATGAATCAAATTTAGTATTTGATAGTACAACAGAGTGACTATAGTCAATAATAATTTAATTGTACATTTAAAAATAACTAAAAGAGTATAATTGGATTGTTTGTAACAAAAAGGAGAAATGCTGGAAGTGGTGGATATCTTATTTATCCTGATGTAATTATTAATCATTATATGCCTGTATCAAAATATCCCTTATACCCCATAAATATATATACCTAGTATGTAGCTACAAAAATTAAACATTAAAAAAATCTAAAACAAAAGAGAGTTTGGTACTTTCTCTGCGGTGAGGTCCCACTCCAGCCACGGAATCTCCATAGAAGGAGAGAGAATAACTGAAACCACTTAAGAATATTTGTGGTACTGAGTTAACAGGGCTGGGCCATCTGTACAAGTTTGCATTAAATTTGGACAACAACTTTCCTTTAGATTTCTTCTGTTGCTTACTTTAGGTGATGTCTGAGAATGAAAAAAAATCTTCATGAGTGCAATATGTGAACACATTGGATTTATTAGAATTACTATTACTTTTTCATAATATAAAGAACCATGTTTGAAAATAAAAGTTGTTTTGAGTATTCCCTGGAAGTCCAGATTTCATTTAAAATTCCTGATGTGTACGTTGAGAGTTGCTGACAGCTTCTAGAAAATCCCAGGCCCATCAGTGTCTCTTCCCAGAGTGTGCTTTTAAGTAGGACAGCTGCTAAAGTTACAAAGAATGAACACCACTGCTTCTCATTCTGTTTCTTCTTGAACCTGATCTTAGGGATGAAGGCAGTTTGCTTGGGGACTCTGACATGACCCTAAGCCCTTTCCTTCCAACAGAGCCAGTGCTGCAGTAGACGGGTCAGGAGAGAAACTCCATGCAAGATTTTTAGTGAGGCCACCAGCTACCAGGTCATGTGTGAAAGTCCTGAGTGCTGTTCGTGAAGTGTCACACAAAGGCACTGTTCAGAAAGCCTGTAATAAAATATGTGCATCTGGTCCCCGTTGGCACAAATTGGTTTTATTGATTAGTTTATTGGATGGCGCCCAGTGCTGAGAAAGTTCCCAAGAAGATAATAGCCACACAGTGGCTGAATGATTTAATTAGAGAGAAAGCATATAGACACGCAAAGACACCATGTGGAAGCCAACAGCATAGGACAAGTCATGGAGAAGGTGCCATGAAGGGGGTGATAGAGCCTCGGTTGTAATGCCCACCTGCCCTTCATTGATGGTCTTGCTTTGCCACTTGTTAGCTGTATGTCCTTGGGCACATTTCTTAACCTCTCTGAGCTGCGGTTTCCTTATTCATAAAATGAGCAAGATACTATTAGTACCCATCCTTAGAAGCTGAGTAAGCATTAAACGAATTAATGATGCCATCTGCTTCATTTGAGTAGATGACGTAACCCAGAATTTCAGTCCTTCTTGGCACCTTCCTCTCTTCACTCCTCACACTCATAAACTCAAGTCCTTTTGTTTTTCCTCCTGGGATGTCCCCGCTCCACTCACATCTTCCGTTTCTACTCCTGCCGTCCTCCCAGGCTACTTTCACCTCATCACTAAGTTCCTGGAATAGCCTCTTCACTGGTCTCCCTGATTGTAGCTGACCCACTGCAACAACTTAGAACTCTGGAACCTGAGCAATCATTTAAAACGTAATTCGACTATTCACCCTTCTCTACCCCTTGACTGTAGCTTGAACTTGTCAGGGCTTCCCACTGCACATACCCTTCATGCATCCTTGTTTGTCTGCAAGCTTCTCCCCACCACTCTCACCTCACACCTGCCTGATTCCTCATGACCCAGCTACACTGATCTATTCTGAGTTCTTCCAAGTGTTCGTGCTCTGTCTTCCTGCAGAAACTTTGCACCTACTATTACTTCTACTTGAATACTTTGCTCCTTCTTTTCTCTTAGTTTTCTTCTGCTCATCCTCCAAGTCTCAACTTGAATGTCATTTTCTTGGGCATTTTTCTCTGGACTACCAAATAATCAGATCATCGAGAGGTGCAGTTTATCCCTCAGGAGCCTCATCCCAGTATATTCATTTATTTATACAATTGTTCAACTCATACTTGGCCCCCCGCTTGTCTATCCTCCCTGTAAGGGCAGAGGTAGCACCTGTTTGGTTCATGCTTTTGCCCCCAGGACCTATTGTAGCCCCTGGGATTGGGGAATGTTCTATACATTTTGGTTGAATGATTGAATAAAGAAATAACTGATGAAAGGAAAGAGCTGAATACAATAAATGATACACCAGCAGCAGCATTCCATACTTGTGATAGATTATTATTGTGGTAGTTTGTGGGGGCAGCAGAGAAAAAGAATGGTGAAAGGGGCTTAGAAATACATGTGTTCAATGCTTTAAAAACTGCAAAGGAGTTTAGTGCAACCCCTCACAAGTGCAAATGATGCCAGTGCCCTGCCCAGATTCCTGTGGTAGTCACCTACACACCCCGGAGGCTGCTTATTTCAAACACGTAAGGCTCTCTGCTGAGAGGGTTTGGTTTGTATGTTTTGTTTCTGGATATAGGAGCCCTTTCTACAATTACTCAGGACAAGCCATGTGTGCCACAAAGTTGGCACCTCTGGAAATAACCTTCAACCATTAACGGCCAGGGTTTGGAGGAAAATGCTCCAGCTTCCTCTCCCCTTGTTGGTTTGCATCACTTTCTCATTTCCTACTGGTATTTCCTGGGATCACTTCACAAGCAAACCACTTGTATTTGATTTCTTTTTTAAATTTTACTGTATTTTAATTTCTGGGATACATGTGCAGAACATGCAGGTTTGTTACATAGGTATACACGTGCCATAGTGGTTTGCTGCACCCATCAACCTGTCACCTACATTAGGTATTTCTCCTAATGCTATCTCTCCCCCGGCCCCCCACCTCCTGACAGGCCCCAGTGTGTGATGTTTCCCTACCTGTGTCCATGTGTTCTCATTGTTCAACTCCCACTTATGAGTGAGAACATGCTTTGTTTGGTTTTCTGTTCTTGTGATAGTTTGCTGAGAATAATGGTTTCCAGCTTCATCCACGTCCCTGCAAAGGACACGAACTCACCATTTTTTGATGGCTGCAAGTATTCCGTGTTGTATATGTGCCACATTTTCTTTATCCTGTCTATCATTGATGGGCATTTGGTTCCAAGTCTTTGCTATTGTGAATAGTGTCACAATAAACATACGTGTTCATGTGTCTTTATAGTAGAATGATTTATAATCCTTTGGGTATATACTCAGTAATGGGATTGCTGGGTCAAATGGTATTTCTGGTTCTAGATCCTTGAGGAATCACCACACTGTCTGCCACAATGGTTGAAGTAATTTACACTCCTGCAAACAGTGAAAAAGCATTCCCATTTCTCCACATCCTCTCCAGTATCTGTTGTTTCCTGACTTTTTAATGATCACCATTCTAACTGGCATGAGATGGCATCTCATTGTGGTTTTGATTTGCATTTCTCTAATGACCAGTGATGATGAGCTTTTTTTCATATGTTTGTTGGCTGCATAAATGTCTTCTTTTGAGTCATGTCTGTTCATATCCTTCACCCACTTTTTTATGGGGTTGTTTTAATTTTTTCTTGTAAATTTGTTTAAGTCCTTTGTAGATTCTGAATATTAACCCTTTGTCAGATGGACAGATTGCAAAACTTTTCTCCCATTCTGTAGGCTGCCTGTTCCCTCTGATGCTAGTTTTGTTTGTTTGTTTTTGCTGTGCAGAAGGTCTTTAGTTTAATTAGATCTCATTTGTCACCTTTTGCTTTTGTTGCCATTGCTTTTGGTTTCTTAGTCATGAAGTCTTTGGCCATGCCTATGTCCTGAATGGTATTGCCTAGGTTCTCTGCTAGGGTTTTTATGCGTTTAGGTCTTAGGTTTAAGTCTTTAATCCATCTTGAGTTAATTTTTGTATAAGGTATAGGGAAGGAGTCCAGTTTCAGTTTTCTCCATATGGCTGGCCAGTTTTCCCAACACCATTTGTTAAATAGGGAATCCTTTCCCCATTTCTTGTTTCTGTCAGGTTTGCCAAAGATCAGACTACAACTTACAAGGGATGTGAAGGACCTCTTCGAGGAGAACTACAAACCACTGCACAAGGAAATAAGGGAGGACATAAACAAATGGAAAAACATTCCATGCTCATGGATAGGAAGAATCAATATCATCAAAATGGCCATACTGTCCAAAGTAATTTATAGATTCAGTGGTATCCCCATCAAGCTACCATTGACTTTTTTCACAGAATTAGGAAAAATTACTTTAAATTTCATATGGAACCAAAACAGAGCCCACATAGCTAAGACAATTCTAAGCAAAAAGAACAAAGATGGAGGCATTATGTCACCTGACTTCAAAGCATACTGCAAGGCTACAGTAACCAAAACAGCCTGGTGCTGGTACCAAAACAGATATATGGACCAATGGAACAGAACAGAGGCCTCAGAAATAACATTAGACATCTACAATCATCTGATCTTTGACAAACCTGGACTTGATTTTGTCTGCGCTCATACTCTGCTCCTGAGAATCCCATGTGATACCTACAGTTTCACCGAGACAAGGGCAAACTTCAAGTTCATCATGATTTGGTCAAGAATTGTCCAGAGATCTAAGCTTGATCTCAACACATTTTACCTTGCAGGACATGCTTGAAGTCCTGGGATAGACACTGTAGTTCCTGGTTGTGTTTCAGACCCACATCTGAGGTGGAACATGTGCCCTCTCTAAGGATGCTGTTTTAGAAGGAACTGCAGAGAGTGACTCAACTCCCTGAGAGGTGGGCAGACCCCCTCTATGCAACCCAAACCCTGGAAGAACTGAGGGGTGCCTTTTCAGTGACATCAGCTTGTAAAAGCAAGAGTTAAAATAGAAGGAAATTTAGAAAACATTCTTTTTCAATCCCAATGTGTCTCAGAGCTTCTTACTTACCTTCCTTTTGGCTTCCAACACATCCCATGGAAAATGGTGACTTCCGCAGCGATTCAGTAATTCTCAGATGAGTGAGTGTTGGTGTGTGCACAAACCCTGGTAAAAAGGAAGGATGAGGGCTATCGGATATTGGGGAGAGAACGGCATTCAAAAGTCCACTTCCTGTAGCTGACTCTCCACCAGACTTATCAGATACATATACCAAGGTCCAGTGAGTGCAGTGACTTTCCTCAATTATTTTCTTGTTAGCAGAACTAAAACAGAGCCCCTCACCCCCTCCCTCCACATCCAGACTTTCTCTCCATTCTTCGTTTTATCTTTCCTCTCCTAAGAACTATCCTCTGTAATCTCTAATCTAAGTACTCACCTGTGATCTGTAGCCAGCATTTATTTTTGTTTGGCACCTAAATCTCGCATGAATACATAATTGATTGTTAATCATATCTCAGTGTTTCCACTCTGGGTGGCCATTTTACATTTTTGCCATTGAATCTTAAGACCGCAACTATTGTGGTTATTGTTGCCATTGTTGTTCCTGTTGTAATATTTAAGTTATTCAAGTTATTCCTTACACAAGTTTGCTTAGAAATAACAGTGTAACCAGAGTAATGGTTGCCAAGATGCTCAATATGGTCAATCAAGTCTATGGTTCAGAAAAGATGTCTGATTTGACAACTTTTTTGGGACTTAAGCAGTCTGGAGAGCACTCCCCTTGAAATCTCATTATTCAAATGTGGCCCAGTCTAGCCATACACACTTTTAGACTTTGAGATCCTCCAACAAAGGACGTGACTCCCTGAGACAAGCCCATTCAGGCAGTGAGGGACACAATCAGACTCACTAATTGATCTCCAATTTTTCTGGAAAAAAATATTGATCATAAGAGGCAAATGTGAAAGAAAAGGATGTACTTAAGGCTAAGACTTTAAAGTAGAGTCAGGAGATTGTGAGAGGATTGCACCCATACCTGCTGAGTCAAACTACAGGATGTTCCAATAGACTTGGATAATAACAGAAGTCAGTATACTCTAGCCTTTAACATCTCTCAGTTGGGATACCCTAATTAAACAATCAGAATGGGTTTTCAATTTAGGATTTCTGCATAGCCAATGAACTTTCTTTGAAAACAACTTTTTACGGAGAGCCCATATTAAACAAACAAACAAACAAAAAAACCCTTTCCTGAGTTTGTATAAGAGAATTCCAGAAGGCGGTAGAAGATTTGTTTAAGTGAGAAACATGAACAAAAGAGCCAAGGCCTTTTAGTTTGGCAGCACTGGAATTGGTAAGAAGTATCTGAGAGGGACCTTTCCATCGAGGTTGAAGGAAATCCTGATGTAAATTTCTCTTCCAACAGAGAAAAATCACCAGGCTAAAGGTTGTGATGTTTTGTGTCTTTGTCTCCTGGCAGCACACTGTTGAAAGATTGTGCTACCAGAGAATGATTTTTGCCTTTAACTTTAATTATTTCTTTATTATATTGGAGAATGTCTCCTTTAATTGACTGAATATTAAAGCCGGAGGAAGCTAAATGCATTTGCCATCCAGTGATTATTTCAAAAGGTAACAACTCATATTTTCCAAAAAATGCAGACCTTTAACAGGACCAGAAGCAATTGTAAAGTTTCCACTAATTTTACCAGTTGAGTTTTGATGATGCCACTTGTTCTTTCCATTAATGTGCAAAACTGGAAATGGTAGGTGCAATAAAAGGTGTTGTTATATGGGGCATATTTCACAAATGTGTTTTATAACATGGCTAGTGAAATGAGTTCCTTGATCATTATGTAGCTCTGAAAGTATGCCCCATCTAGGAATAATCTTTTCTAGTAACAGTTTTATAACAGCTGAGACAGTGGCATGTCAGCACGTGAACCATCTACCTAATGAGAAAACACAAATCATAACAAGAACATATTTATAACTTTGAATGGGAAGAAACTGGATGAAATCCATTTGCCAAATCTCAAAAGTTTCACTAGACAGGTCAAGATGACATGTAACTGTCTGAATTGTCTTTCTTGGGTTGAATTTTGGACAAACAATACAAGACAATTGTGCCTCTTTGGAACCCTTAAAATGTTTTCCCCATGAACACTGTTTAATGAAACTCATAACTTTGTTTAAAAAAAAAAAGGCCAGTGTTAAAAATCCACCCCTAATGTGCTTAACTGAAGTCAACAAGGTCATTTCTCTGGCCATCACATGTTAAAATTTTAAAATTTTGAATATCCCTGGGAGGAGTCCGGACACTTCAGCCTGGCAAAGTCTTCATCATGTCCTGCTGCTTTCTGCTGACAACACACACACATGACTGTCCTGGCTTTTGAAGGCTCCTGGGCTTATAATCTTTGCTAAGGCTCAGTTCAAATAGAAAATCTTAGTGAAAGTTTTCCTGACTACTAAGGCTGAATGAATCCCTGCCTCCCCTAGGTCTTCTCACCAATATATAAGAAATGTGCAAGATTCCATTAGAATCCATCATTATGATGCAGTGGGGACACCTCCCTCGCCTCTCCCTGCCTCCTCCTCCGTCTTTTATTTTCATTAAGATGAACTTTACATAGCATAATTGATCATTTTAAAGTGAACACTTAAGTAGTATGTAGTACATTCACAATGTTGTGTAACCACCACCTCTGTCCAGTTCCAAAATATGTTCATCACCCCAGCAGAAAACCCTGTAATCCATTAGGCAGTTCCTATCTCTTCCCGCTCCAGGGCCTCAGCCCCTGGCAACCACCAATCTGCTTTCTGTCTCTGTATTCTTAGCACTAGGTATGTAGTCAGTATTCAATCAATTTTTTTGGTGGGGGGCAAGTAAATGATAATTGGATGTGAGAAGAGGCCAGGGGTGGCCTGGCAGCATCTTCACATCAAGGGACCCCATGATTGAGAGAATCACTGGATCCAGACTGCCTCAGTTTTGTCATCTGTATAGCTCAGCAAGATAGCTGAGCTCTTGTAACTCCATTTTCTCACCTACAAGATAAAAACAATAATAGTATCTACCTTTAGAAGTTGTTATGACAATTGAATGAGTTAATGTGTAGAAAAGCCTCAGAACAGTGCCTAGCACATAGAAAGCTGGTGTAGGGAGTGTTAAATGCAACTGACGCCATACTCCATTGATGTCGGAGTCTCCTGCGAGTTCGTCTTCCAAGAGAGAATCAGAACAAAAATCTAGGACTAGAAAACTGCCATGCTGAGATGGAATGGCTCTTCATAAAAAAGAACATTCACGCTGTTTGCTCTTGAGTCATTGTCTGCTTCTGATTCTACTCCTGACACCTGGCCACCCCGCTCCACAGCCCTCCCCTCTCCCAACACCCCGACTCCTGTCCCAACCTAAGTTTTGACCTTGAATTCAACAGAATGTAAATTCCAGGAAGATAGAGACCATGTCTTCTTTGTGCATCTCTGTATTCTCTACCGTAGCACATAATCAAACTCAATGATTGGCTGTGGATTAAATTGATAAATTCCTGCATAAAATGATCTATTATTACGACCATAAAGCTTCAGAATGCATCAACCCCTTGCCACTCAGTGGCTCCCTGTGCCTCAAAAGGAAACTTGTCAGAGCTCAAAAGCTCATGCAAGGCCTGCTCCTCCCTTGACTTCCTGTCTGTTCACACCTCCTTTCACCACCTCTGCCCTTAGTAGGACATGGAGGTGGTGCAGACAGACAAGACCACTGATCCCTGGAGTTTTTTTTTTTTTTTTGCTGCTGAGCTCATCATACTGCTTTACACCCCAACCAGGCCTCAGCCTTGATGTAAAACTCTCCAGTTCTATGTAAATAATGGTCATAATTAATAATAAATGAACGGCCTGGGGAATTGCAGAGCAGGATTTAGTGCTGGAGATTTATACAGCTGCATTTGGTGCCAGTGTAAGATGTGGATATGGAAAAAACCCAGGGAGCTATCATTTCAGAGCCAGGGCACTGCTAATAAGCACTATGCACCCAGCAGCTCACAGCCTCATAGAAAACCACACATTTTCCTGGGTGTAAAGGAGAGGAGGATATTTTTATCTTTTTGATCTCTGTTCCTCTAAATCAGGGTTAAGCCCCCAAAGTCCAGGCAATTTATATGGGGCAAGGCAGAAATCTGAACATGAAGAAGAAGCTGGAGAAAGAATTTGGACATACAGAAGAAAACTGAAATAAGGACATCGTGTACTTTTAGGAGAATTGATGGAATCAATGGGTCTTGAACAGATGATAAAGACCTACTTCTGCAGAAAGAAAACAAAAATGCTTCATTCAATGCATAAATGGGGGAAAATCCCTGCAAGCCTCTTAGCTCTAAATATTTCAGATGCTCTAACTGGGCACTCACTGAGTGCATACATTGAGTTTTTTCATAACATACAATCCTTTAAGTCCACACACGTCTATACTTTTTAATCCAATTCCTCTACCTTCTTCTAAATCTTGATTTCCTGAGTTGGAAGTTAGCACTTGCAAACATTTTGAAGGTCACTTGACTAATCAACTGCTCATAGTTACAAGGAGGCAGGAGATGGAATAATATCAGGTTGTTGGCGGGATTTCCAGGCAACACAAGCAAGGGGCTGAGCATAGGAGCTCATGTAAGAAGCTCTTAATGAATGAAAGCTATTGCCACAATGTTCCAGGTTCAGGTCTGCCTCATGGTCATGCATCATCCCATTGACTCCATGTGAAACAAACTTAAGATTCAGGCTACTACTAAAAAGTGCCAGATAACCAGTGGCTCACAGTCTTGTAAGAAATCAGAGTTGTTAACACACATTATTTCTGGGTGTAAAAGAGAACATTCTTGTTCTTCAAGTATCATTGTCCTTAATTTATAGAAATTAAGGCTTATTGTTAACAAATTTGACCAAGAAAACAGCTTACAAATAACAAAACCATGATTTGAACATAGATGGGCAATTTTCAGAGCCCATGCTTACTTTATGCCCTTCTCCTTCCCTGAACATCAATCTCAACTCTCCTGGGGCTCCAGGTTAACATCTTCATGTAAAGAAAAGGGAGAGTGGGTGCTAGAAACTCTCAGGGCTCACCAGGTCAAAACCTATCTGACCAGACACAATTCTTTCCAGTG